TACGTTTCATACCCTAAGGTTCAGTGTTTGAACGCTACTTCCACCAAAGTTTGAAGATCGGCAACCTCTCTGTTGTCCAGCTCACTGCCAGTTCTATTTTGACCTTATGTTCGTGGTCACTTGAAGTCCCAAATCTTAGGTTATCGGTTACTACTAGTGAATAGCAAGTTCTCGTGACCATTGCGTTCACTCTTACTGCTAGTCATTACACAGTGGTCTGCCATAAAAGTCGCTCGGTTTACTTCACGAACACCATTGGTCGGCGATCAGGGTCTTGCTTGACTTGAAAGGGACGCTTTTACTCAAGGAATGCTGAGTGGGTGATGAACGAAAATTATAAACACTAAACGGGAGAGTGAAATAGGCTGTTGATGTCCCACGATCCTGTCTCAAATGAAATTCGCAGTTCTAAGCAGAGTTGTTGTGTCTATCTACATACGTATTCTGGACGCTACCATACCTATTTCTTTGCACTGATGTGTACGGAATGTGGAAGTGTTGTAGTGTAGTGCAAAAAGATGTTTAGTGCTAGTTTTCAAAAAATGTGACCATTTGTGTGCGTTCATCCATGATCATCACAGTGTTCTACCAATGAAATTTCACTGCAAGCAAATAATCTGCTTGTTTGAGCATGTTTGCAAAACTACACAATGATTAGCTACTTCCACGGTGAGCCGATCGGTGTTAAAATGTGTCGCTAGACCGCAGTGGATTTCTTGGCATTTTTGTCAACTTTGTTGATGGTATCGGTTTTTCGGTGAGGATTTAGTACTAACGCACGTATTTTCCGTTTATCGATGAGGTATACGGATAAATCAAAACGAACGATTATTGTTCATTCCGTCTGCTATCATTTATCCTTTGGTTAATAAATATTTCTTTGCATACAAAACCGCATTGACCAACAGGTGAGCTTTGCGTAGTAGTGGGGCTATAATGATTCAGGAGAAGTGAGTTACATGTGCATTTGACGCACTCAGCGTTTCCTACGCATGCTCGACAGTTGATCGTCTCCGGTTTGCAGTGACCTACTAATCAGGGTCTTGAATGCGATGATTTAAATTGTTCCATGATACGCTTCTATCCATGTGCACTAGCGCTCAAGGCAACATGTTATGACTCGTGAAATCGCACTGATCCAACGTTGGTAGGCATAGTTGTTTCGTGGTCTTATTTTAATTTCTGGAATGGCCAGTAGTACGTCTCACTTTGCTTGCGCTATCGTGCTACAATTTGCTAATTAAATAATCTTACTCTGTTCGAACGATGTTATTTCGGCATTTAAAAGAAGACAATAATCGCGTGTTTTAACTGTGAAACCTAGACCTGTTCAAGGAAGCTACTTGTATTTTGTGTCTGTGTAAATTGTGTAAGCTTATATGCTTGCATTCCAGTTAAAAACGTACACTGTTCATCACGTGGCATGAAATATGCAGTTTCATATAACATGCAACATAGAGAATGTCACTGAAGTTTATTTCGTGTACAAACCGTTTGACATAGTTCACTTGCGACCTTTTCCTCTTTGTTTAGGAGTCGGGCCAAGCAGGGTACAGGGGAATTTTCATAAATGTAAGTGCTAGAGGGTAGTTGCTAAAAGGAGGAGTGTG